GGTATGGTCACTTCCACTCAAAGTTCCCACTGTTCCTACCTCATTAATCACCTCTTCTCAGTTGGTGAATATCAGGTGCAGGACTGTTCTTTTTCCTTCAATCTTCTGGAACCTGAAGTTGTTGCCAAGGCAAGTGAGGAATTTCATAGCAAAGCTGGTCTTCAAACAGATATCAGGGTAGTTTAACTCTCCTGTTGTCAGTACACTTCTCCTCTATGAATATTTGGTAATCTGCCTAAGCAGGGCCTCATCCAGTTTTTCACCCATGCTAGAATGTTTGTAGCAGACAATGCTATCAATATTTTGCTTTCCTTTAGTTTCTACTTTGTGCTTTCCACCAGTATACCTTGCTCCAACTCATTGATTTCATCACTGTTTTAGAAATCCTTTAATAAAATGTCATTTTTCTAATCTTCCTGTCTAGTCTTTTGCTTCTGAATATGTTAAACCATTTAGTCTCTTCTTTCCAGTTATGAGTTTCATCCCACCAAAAAATTCAGTAGGATCTGGGTCCAAGCTGTCCCCAATGGATGCTGGAAAATGCAGATAGTGTAATGGCAAACGCTGTACATACATGGTCTTGCTCACTCTAGTGGCCAGTCCTGGTAACTTCATTTTTTAGAAATAAATATTTCTAGGATTTTTCTTTTAATAATTTTAATATTTTCAGACCATGGATAAGTGATAAGAGGATTCTTCTGGTAACTATTAAATCATATTTGCCTCCTGTATTAAAAGTTTCAAGCTTATCTTGTTTGCCGCCCAGCCTCTGTGCTTGTTCCTGATATGCAAGGCTTGTTTTTGCTTATTTAATTATTCTCAGATTTGTGCAGAGAAAAAAAAATGGGCATTTTTCTCCACTGTGTAAAACTTTAGAATATTAATTGGTAATAGAATCATGGTTATAAACATGTAGTTACTTAATTTAAAAGACAACCATAGTTTATTTTATTTTGTCTTATTTTTTGATGAGGGAGAAGTTTTGGTTATTAGGTACAAATGAAGTAGTTCTGGAATCCATCTGCACAAAAAGTGTACCATAGCTTGGAAAGAAAAAAACACACAAATTTAGGCTGTACATAATAACAGCTGAATGTGTGTGTCAGTACTTACTTTTATAATAGATGATCAGGAGCATGGGGATCCATCTGGACCCAGCGCTTACTATGGAATCCCAGGTGGCGTCGGTGGTCCGCACTGCCTTTTTTCACCTCAGGCGGATAGCCCAGCTGCGGTCCTCCCTTGATGTGGGGGTGCTCACCACCTTGGTGCATGCGCTCGTACTCTCGAGAGTAGACCACTGCAACGCGCTCTACGTGGGGCTACCTTTGAGGCTGCTGCGGAAATTACAGGTGGTGCAGAATGCAGCGGCCAGATTACTCAGTGGAGTGAAATAATACCAACATATCTCGCCCACTCTGGCCGCATTGCATTGGCTGCCAATCCGGTTCCACATCGACTTCAAAGTGTTGATGCTTATGTACAAAGCCCTAAACGATTTAGGGCCTTGATATTTGGTGGAACGCCTACTCCCACCAAGATCTACCCGTATCACTCGTGCGAGCCAGGAGGTGAGGCTGAGGAGCCTAACGCCGAGGGAGGCCCTGAGGGAAAAGACAAGAAATTGGGCCTTCTCGGTGGTGGCTCCTCGCCTCTGGAACATTAGGTCTCCATTAGGCTGAACCATAGAGCTGGTGGTGGTGCAGAAGAAATATAAAAGTTCCTAAAATGATGGCCACATGTGTGGGTTAGACTCCTTTGTAAAAAGCATAAACTTCCATAAAATTATGAGATTAAAGATCTTCATCTGCCTTGTTCAACAAACTTATTAACTAGACTGTACACTTCTGTTTTGAACAAGTGATACAAGAATTTTTGGGCAATTGCTGCATTTCAGATTGGAAGTCATGAATGATGCACCCTCAACAAAGTTTTTGAATACCTTAAAATGAGTATGTTTTTAGAAGTATCCAGAGGTTAATCCTAAATCAAAACTAAACTCAGTCAAAATAAGATAAAAATATATAATCACACCCCCAAATGGCTGTCGATTAGGAGTTTTACTTTATGTGTCAGTGCAAGACATGGTCTTTTTACCAATGATGTTCCATTTACAAAGTGCACTTCTCCTGGGAATATGGACTGGTTTTGGTTTCAACTGGTTTCAACTAAATATATTCAGTTCTTTTTTCTTTTCAGGGCAGTGTCTAAAAAGATGTTGAAAATTAAAAATCAGGACTCCAAAATTATATTGTTAGGTTAGATTTTGTGCCATGGGAATGGCAGAATTGGTGAACTCAACACTGATTCAGGACTCAGATAAAGAAAGGTGGAAATAACTACTATAGGATTATGTAATAAACTCTACAAAGTTTAGTAGGCAGGAATATATTTCCTCATTTTCCAAATCAAATTATAGAACTGCATGTGTTTTCTTTGTACTACATACCTGTCTTGAAGTCTTTATATGCCCTCAGTGGTGAAAGAAAACCCCAATGGTTGAAAATAACTAGTCTTGAGGATTACTGTATTTTTGCGTGTATAATATGCCCCCATGTATAAGACTCCCACTTTTCTAATCCAAAATTTCTTTGCAAGAAAGTGGAGGGGGAAGGCAGGGATCAGTGCTTTGATTACTGCTTTTCCCCTCCACTTTCTTTTCAAAAAGCTGCTTACCCCCTTGCAAAAAGTGGAGGGGGAAAGCAGCTTTTTGCAAGGAGAGTGGGGGGGGGGAAGCACTTTCCTCGCAAGAAAGTGGACGGGAAAAGTGATTCCTGCTTTCCCCCTCCGTTTCTTGTGAGGAAAGTGTTTTCCCCCTCCACTTTCTTTGCAGAAAGTGAAGGGGGAAAGCAGGGATCAGAGCGCTTGGATAGCTCCCCCCTCCTTACTACTGTGTATAAAACAACCTTCTAATTTTTCTCTAATTATTTTTGGGGAAAGTGTCATTTTATACATGGAAAAATACGGTTTTTTTAAAAGTACAGATCAAATAATGCTTTGGAGGGGTTACAATAAATCTTTTCTATCTCGCCTCCCTCAGCTTTTTTGTTTTTGGTCTAGATTTATTTTTGCAAGAGAGCAATATTATTTCCAATTGAATTCCTTTTTTTTTTTTTTAGAAAAGCTTGAATCATCTAATGCAGTGGTCCAACCCCCCGGTCTGCAGTCCAGTGCCGGTCTGTGGGCTTCCCAGGACTGGGCCGCAGAAAGGGATATCCAACCTGCACGCATGGTGGGCATGTCGCAATCGCATGCCAACCCATGAGCATGACATGCCCACCAGTGAGCACGGGGGTGCCCCTGCCCCCCCACATGGAGCCTGCACCCCAACCAGTCTGTGGTTCCAAAAAGGTTGGGGACCACTGATTTAATGGACATGTGTCAAACTCAAGGCCTGTGGGCCGAATCTGGCCTGCCAGGCCATTCCATGTATCCCTTGCAGTGTTGCCTGCTATTGTGCAGCATATAATACGCAAGTCACTCATAATTCTCCATAAGGATCCTGGGAATACAGATAAAAACAAAATGGCTGAGATTTTGTTGTACAGCTCTATGTGTGCAGTGTAGCTGACATCATCATTTCAAATCTACTCTGATCAAAGGCAGTTTTGGGGTGCACATGATTCATGTACAGTGCAATAAAGTTGTGTACACTCAATAATCTCCAGTGGGAATTTGCTGCTGCAGAGTTGTGCAAGAGTATTTTAACCAAAAAGTTATAATATTAAAATGCAAGTAAGTTATCATATGAAATATGAACACTGAATTGAAACAATGTGAAAGCCCAGCAAGGGGAAAAAGACACCCATAATTAAGACATCCTTCTTTGGCATTCAGTCAGTCCTTCAGTCTCGAGAGACTATGGTAACATATCCTGAATTGAGGAGTGTCCTCTCCAGAGCATGAAGCCTGGGTAAAGGATAAGCTGTTACCCAAGCAGCAGATCCCCCTCTCCAAGTTGCTGAAATGGTCCAATGGAAAGGCAAGAGCCAATACAACTGGTTCCAGCAACGTCGCAGGAATTGGCAGAACAACATGAGCTGCCTTCGGGACTCCAGCTCCTGATTTTGCCTCGAGGTTAACATGTTAGACACAGTAAAAAGGTATATGCAGCACAGCTTATCTAAATAAAAAAAATCTTTGTTTGCTGCTGGAAGGGCTACAGGGAGGAGACCAGCCTTGCCCCTCTCAAAGTGGAATTCCACCGCCTTAGAAGCTGCCACCAAAAAGGCCCTCATTTCTCTCCTTACCAAATGTGCCTATGAACTAGTGGGACAAATAGTCTTAAAGGATAGTAAACCAAATAAGTAATAATTTTTTAAACAATTGAATTTGTCCTGTCATTTACTTAACTCTTTAACTCCTTTGGCTCCACTACTTGCTTCTGCCTGTAATATTTATTCATAGCTAGTGTTCATCTTCTTTAAGCACCAAAAGTCTGGTCAATAATATATGAAACTGCAAAGAACATTGACATGTATTAAATAGTTGATGCAACTGCTATTATGAAAAGATGTTCAAGCCCCAGCAAGGTTCTTGCAAGACTAGTTTTCTTAATACTCTAAATGATATGTTCCCAAAACTGAATAAATCCACTGCCTTTCTTTCATGTTTTGGTGGGAAAAATTATTGTAGCACTTGCAGAGTACAATTCTTACCATGCAAGGATTGTAAGGTTTGAACATTTTAGTATAATGTACTGTTTTCTGTAATATTTGTGTGAGTATTGGACATGGGCCAATATTCAGTATATTAACATTTATGTGTTGTACAAAGTACTATGACTATAAACCAGATGAACACCTTTGAGGATAAATATTAATATGTTAAAAGCAAATATTTTAAACATTTGCAGTTAGGTTGAAATTAGTGCAGAGTACTACCTTTTTCTGAAAATGAGCTACTGAAACCTGTGTTCATTAAATGAAACTAGCTATGGATCAGTTTCGATTCATGTATTTATAGAAAAGCAAATAATTTGCCATTCTTTTGTTTTTCAGTGTAATGTCCAAATTCAGAAATGCCTTATGTAGATCGTCAAAATCGTATTTGTGGTTTTCTAGACATTGAAGAAAATGAAAACAGTGGAAAGTTTCTGCGTAGATATTTTATATTGGACACAAAAGAAGATAGTTTGGTATGGTACATGGATAATCCACAGGTAAACTACTCTAGGATGTTTTTTAATGATTGTGCCATTCAGTATTGTGACTCTTATTTTTCTGATTTTTTTGAAAATTTTGCTGATTTTTACTGATGTTAATGAATATTTCTGCAAATATTAATTAATCATCCTTTTTTTAAAAAATGTGTTATATATTCTGTTAGAATCGTGGTGGATAGTGGGGCTTCATCTTCATAATTAAAATTATGACCACTAAAAATTTTGATACCCAGAGTTTGGTCCTGGGCACTATTACAGGGAAATGAATTCTGTTGATCTCAGTGAAACACTTTTAGATGTATTGATAATCAAGGTCGAAGTTATTAAGTGGGCACAAGCTTAATCCCAATGCCTGGAGTGCTTTTGAATATGCTCCTGTCTTTCAAAGCTGAAAGGTGCTATTAGCTGTAGATATGAGTATGCTTGCAGTAATTTGTGGTGCTGTTTTGGATCACCAAACCTAAAGCAAGTTAAAGGAATACTCTGTATTTTGATGGATGATATTTTTGAATTCTGAAGTATTTGAAGTACTTGTGTTTGAACATTTGAAGGGATATTGTGACTTGATTGGTAGTATCCGTTTTATCTTACAATGTTATGTTTTTGACTACAGAACTTGCCTTCTGGATCACCACCAGTTGGATCCATTAAACTTACTTATATTTCAAAGGTATGTGTGTGTTCCTGAAAACACTGTATATCTCAAGAGGATTTTGATAGCATTTAAGTAACTAAAAGAAATCAGAACTTGTATATTTAGAGGAATGATTTCATATAGTATTTTAAAGAATGTTGCTTTTTGGTGGTTTCTTTTGAAGATGAGGTGGAGAGTGCGAAGTGAGAATTCTGAAATCAGTGACAATATTACGTATACATTGTGAATCTACTTTTTGTCTAACCTTCATAAGTTTTGTTTATGTTAAGTTCTAACTAGGGATGGCAGTTAGTGTTAATGATATTTTATGTGATCAAATAGTTTTCAGCTTATTTTGACAAATCATAGTGTAAACTAAACATAGTTTCTCAGTTTATACACAGTCGTTGCATGGATATGGAATTGTACATTTGCTTAAAAAGACACAACTTTTTATTACATTCAGACTGGGGAAACCATGGTTAGTGCTGACCAAACAAGCCAGCCTTTGGTGTCCAATGTTAAAATGTGTCTTAATTAGTCAGGACATTTGTGAATGTTTACATCATCATGTAGCTTCCAATTCAGAGCTTACTTTAATGTACAAGGGAATAAACAAGAAATAGGTCAGGGTTAGCCACAACTTTCCATTATATCCAAATTGGAAAGCTATTGTTAATATCTTACAAACAAGCCAGCCTTTGGCATCTAACTTTGAGCTCCTGCTTGCTTTATATTATGGCTTGTTTGGAAGCTATTGGCCATCATTTTATATTTGGATGTAAATGCAATATATTGTTAATCGCAGCTTCCTACAGTAATTGGAGACGAGTGTTCGTGACAATAGGGTATACAACTTGTTTAATCATTGATTGTCTGAAATGGAATAATTCCAGTTAATTGAAGATGGAAGTAAATGCTTCTACTTGTCTCATGGTAGCAGAGAGGGATAGGAAGAAGTGGTGCCTCGCAAGACAAATTTAATTTATTCCACGATCAATGCCGTCTTGCGAAAAATTTGTCTTGCAAAATGCGTTTTCCCATAGGAATGCACTGAAATTTAATTAATGCGTTCCTATGGGGGGAAAAATTAAAAAGTCACTTACCAGGTAGGGAGCTGGGGAAACACCATTGGAGGAATGGTAGGAGGGTCCCCTCGCCACAATCACTGGCTTTGGGGTCTCCCGGGGCTTCCCTTGCACCATCCCAGGACTTGCGCGTGCCCTCCACAACCATGATCGCTGGGGCTTCCCCTGCACCATCGGAAAACTCACAGGGCCCCCCCTCGCCACGATTGTCGGCTTTGGGGTCCCCCAGGGCTTCCCTTGCACCAGCTGAGGACTCACGGGGGTCCCTCCACGCTGCGATGGGTGCTTGCAGAGGCTTGCCAAGCACCATTTTTGAAGTTCCCGCCCTTTTCCCTTGCCTTCAGCAAGCCTTGAAACAGAAAAAGGAAAAAGAAAACAAAAAAAAGCCTTTTTACATTCTGAGGCTTGCCGAAGGCAGGGGTAAAGGGCGGGAACTTTTTAAAAAATGGTCCTTGGCAAGCCTCTGCAAGCACCCATCGCCGCGTGGAGTGACTCCCATGAGTCCTCGGATGGTGCAGGGAAAGGCTCCGAAGCCGGCGCACGTGGTTGCACAGGACCTCCGCCAGTGCTCTTATGGTGCAGGGGGAGCCGCTGGCTTTCGAGCCCTTCGGAGGCTTCCCCTGCACCATCGGAGCACTTCTGGGGGGTCCCTCCACGCAGCGATGGGCGCTTGCAGAGGCTAGCCCAGCACGATTTTTGAAGATCGTGCCCTTTCCCCCTGCCTTTGGTAAGGCTCTGAACGCAAAAAGGCTTTCTTCTTTTTCCTTTTGCTTTTTCCATTCGGAGGCTTGCTGAAGGCAGGGGAATAGGGCAGGAACTTCAAAAATGGTGCTCAGCTGGCCTCTGAACAGCAACATTTATCTTGTGGAAAACCGCCATAGAAACAATTGTCTTGTGAGGCACCAAAAACCTCGCCGGACCCATTTGTCCAGCGAGGCAATCATCTTGCGAGGCACCACTGTATCATGAGCCTAAAGCTCGTTAGCTTAATGCTAAATCAAACATATAAATAAATTAATAAAATTGTTATAGAACTAACCATAGATATCTTGGATCCAGTGTACAAAATTGTAGTGTTTATTCTTGTAGCATTTTTACTGTGCTTTATTACAGAGGTCCCCAACCCTCCGTACACACTCATCTCTGCACAGCCTGTTTGCGGTTTCACGCGTGCTCCAGCACGCCCGTGTGAAAGAGCACCCGCACACTTGTTCGTGCATGCGCACGAGTGCGGAGGGTGCCCCACTTTCCCCAGCTGGTCTGCGGACCGAAAAAGGTTGGGGATCGCTGCTTTTATTACATTACTAAGAACAAAAATGGTCTAGTGTTGGATGTTAGCAAACACATCCTAATGCTGCAAAATATGACCTGTTGAGATAATTTGGTGAAGCAGTGCCACACTAATTGCTTCCATAGCATGCTGGCAACATGATTGTTCAACACAATCTCTGGTCTCTTTCGCCTCTAATTTCTCAAGCCTTCAGTGTTGAGAAACTGATGAGCATATTTAAATGTGCATGATAAAATAACACACTATTATGTAAAAGAGTTCTAATATTTTCAGTTTTGTGAAGGGTATACGTATTTAGAAGCTTAAGACACTTCTTTAGCTCTGTGAGGCATTTTGATTCCCTTTAAGATAGTTTAGTCTGGGTAGAGTAATACACTTGCAAGGTACTTGGAAACTGATCAACAGAGCTTAGGTTAGTCATTTCTAGAGTTTAAACATTTATATTTTATTGTAAAGCTCTTGGAAAAGGAGCAAGAGAGCTTAGTCAGAATGCTTCTAGAGGCCAGGCATTTATCTTTTATTTAAAGCAGAGGTGTACAACACAGAAACCCAGTTTTAAGATCCTTGTTTTTTTTCTGCTGCCAAATTCGATGTGGTGGTGACAAAAACACAGTATTTTACAACAAAAAAACTTGAATGTTTACATCCTCTGGAAATTCCATGCTATCCATGTTAGAAGAAGACTTTTAATAGAGAATATAGAATATGGTCTGAACCTACTTTCTTCTGTTTACCCAAGTCTTTGTTTAATGATAACTTTTGTGTAAAATGAAACCTTCGATGGCAAGATACTGAGGAATATGGGAAATCATGGCGGAATGTTGCTGTTTGGGAAATAGGTCCCTATGTAGTGGAACAATGTGTGTGGTTTATCTGTATATATAAAATTATGTTGAAAGGGTACTTTTATTTTATGCAATAGATGTGAAACTTATGGCATGTTTTGTGATTTGTAATGTAAACTATCATTTTTGTTAGGTTAGCGATGCAACTAAGCTGAGGCCAAAGGCAGAATTCTGTTTTGGTAAGTTTTAGTAGACAGCAGTTAAGTTACTATCGCTTAAAAAAATAGTGGAACAAAGGTATGTTCTTTTTCCTTAAAAGAGACAAACAAAAGTACTGTATGTAGAATGCCAGTTAATTTATACTTTATGTTTCCTTCACAATATAAAGAGAAAAATAAACTCTTTTTAATAGCTGAAATATTTGGAGTATTTAAAATAGTAAATGATCACGTAAAATTCTTTCTATATCATTTGAAAAACTAAAGCAACATTTGTTAGGATTTATTTTATTTAAGTAAATATGTTTGTAACAACCAGTTTCTGTGACATACTGTAGTAACACTATTAATTTGTTGAGGCTTTAGGCAGTAATTGCAATAGTCATTAATGAGAACTTAATATTAGTATGTTTCTCCTTGGACTTCAGAGTAATTCCTTTGGGAATTAATTTGAGTTTTTAAGGGAAAAATCGTTAAATTGAGCCACAGTGAGCAACCTTGGAGAGTAGTTTCCAGGGCCATTTTCACCTTTCCCCAGTTTTATGGTGAGTTCCTGCTCCCAAATGCCTCCCTATAAAGAAATAAAGGATTAACCACTGAAGAAGTTACAAACAGCATTCCTAGAAGTGTTAAATATTGTTTAAGCCTCCTCTCTGGCCTAGGGCTTGACAGAAAGAAAATGCTATTTTAGAAACAGGAAGTGACTGAAGGATGGTTTTTGATTTCCAGAAAAGACTATTTCAGGCCTGAAACAAGTCTGGATATGCCTCCCCCCCAATAGCGTTTTGATGAAAAACTGTGTCACCAAGGATTCTGAGAGTTACTGTTTATCTTCCTTTTTTTGTAATTTGTTTTCCCATTGGGGCAAATTTGAGGCCACACGTGGGCCGCAGTCTCCATTTTGCCTCCCCCCCCCGAGACAGAACCACTAGAAACATGTTCACACAACTTCCTGCTGGGCTGCAATAACACTTTTGTCCAGCAGCGTGTTGGTCTGATATTTCTTTACTTGTTTCTTGTCTCAGAATTGCCTTCTATCAGTAGACTTATGCATGTTTTATCTGGGCATGGATGTTGGGCATTTTTAGGCTCCCCTAGTTTTTCTGAAATGGTACTCATTTTGGGATTTATTTATTTTGTCTTGGATGCTGGAGAAGTCGAACCATGCACAGTGCAACATCAAAGAATGATAGTTCTTATAAAATAGGGTTGCTTTTAAGTGTTCTACCACTTGTAGTCATTGCCAACAATGGAATTCTGTCCTGTGGACAGTCTACATTTGTTATTTGTACCCTGCAGCATGAATAAAGTAAGTAACAATATGGTCTCCAGCCACCTTTAAAAGAAGAGACATTCTTACATGAATATTCCTCTAGAGATGCGTCTAGAAGGGTGGGATAAAAATCAAACAAACAAACAAACAAACAAATAAATAAATAAATAATATGGAAGGGTGTAGAATGACGTTTGTGAAAAAGGTTAGTTCAACTCTGATGCTTTTATTGTTTTGAATTACATACACAAAATATGAGAACTTTTTTGATGCAAGTTAATTAAACATCACATGGTTGCTAACATTAGGACATTAGGATGGCCTAGAACAGAGGTTCTCCAAACTACGGCCTGTGGGCCTCATCTGTCCCCTCGCCTTTTTATCCAGCCCAGCGAATGTCGCAGTGTCAGGTCCGCAGGATCAGGTCCGTTCCCTTCCTGCTGTCCTGGAAGGAGAAACTGCCCAATGAGTCCCTGGTGGGGAGTGGGGTTTCACTCTGTGCCTGCACACGTGCATGCGTGGGGTGCGGGGTTTCACTCTACACATGTGCGCATGTTCCTTTGGCCCTTGAAAATGTGTAATATATATGATGTAGCCCTCATGCTGAAAAGTTTGGAGACCCCTGGTCTAGAAAAGCAAAACAGCATTTTTAAATATACAGTATATATATGGGCACTAGTGAAAAATGTGCATTTGCTTCAGATTTTGAGATAAGCAATGTTGATTGCTGCATGTGTCTGAGCTGTTAAATGTTCTGCTTAGTCAAAGGGCACTGCTAAATATTTTTTTCAGCTAATGTGGCACATTCATTCTTCTGTTGTCTCCAACAGTCATGAATGCAGGGATGAGAAAATATTTTCTACAAGCCAATGATCAGCAAGACTTAGTTGAATGGGTAAATGTCCTGAACAAAGCTACCAAAATCACAGTAAGTAACTGTTTTTGGATGCTAGAGTAATTTCACATAGATTCTTGTGATATCCGTAGAGGTATAGCAAAACACTTTTTGTATTCTAAGGGTTTTTTAATTAGGTGAGGAGATTATATGTTTTTGGTGTTCTTTCAAGCATTAGCTACTACTTGAAATCTGTTAAATTCTATGTTTCATGATTTGACTGTGTTGAAAAACTTTCACAAATCTACTTGCCAGGAGTAATGAATCCTCTTCTGAGTTTCCAGTTAACTGTCTGACTACAATAATAAAATAAAGCAGTGTTTGAATTGTTGAAAGAAAATCTGTTGAGCAGTCACCTGGTATACAGGACAAGCTCATTTTACTTCTCGTTACTCACTGTGTAAGACTGGGGTCATTTGAACCATTCAATATGAACAGCTTTGACATAAATTCTTTTAGGTGGTCACAGCCAGGCATTCATTTTATAGATATTAATTAGAAATATACTGTATAATTTGAAATGCAGGTATGTGTTTTTGGTTTGAAAAGGAATTTTGAAAAAATTAGTTCCCAATTGTTAGAAAGTTCTGTATGTTGCACTTTGAAAAGAGTTTTCCAGATATCCATAGACAGTGCCTGAACATTAACTTGGTGAGGGAGAGGGCACAATCAAAACAGTTCTTCAGACCTGGACCATATTCATCTATGTTTTTAAAGAGTTTATCTCATGGAAAATTGCAAAGATATTTGGCTAAAATACACAATTTATGTAAAGCAGCCTTCCTGTTATAAAATAGGAAGACAGTTAATCTAAATCCTCTTTTAACAAATGAGTTCTAGAATGTACTAAGGAAATTTCTGTAATCTTCAGCTGCATTATATCATTCATGAATTTCTGAGAGAGATTAGACTAGAATGACTTTGTAGTAAGGTAGCTAAAAGACTGCTTCCACCCATAGGAGTGTGCCTGGACTTTGGGATCTTGAAAGTGAGACTCTGTTGAGTGTCACACCACTCTGAGGTTAGCCGGATTACCTGAAATTAGACTTTTTTGGTAACAGTATCTCAATTAAGAAACATATTCCCCCAAACACACAAGGCTCAATTTTTACTGAGTTTCCCACATCGGTCAAAGTGGTGTTCTTTTGTCATACCTTTGACTTTTGTTTAAACTTTGTTTTTGAAAAATGCTTTGGTTTTGTTCTTTTTCTTAATATTGGGATTTTACATAATTTAAGGGCCTGTGAGCAGAAATGTGATATGTAGATAACTTAAAGCATAGAATTGTTAAACATGTTAAATGAGGCCGAGAGAAAATGAATGCGGCTTTTGCAAAGGGTTATTAGAAATCTTTGAGAGTGCTATTAGACATATGGGTACAGGTGTTTTAATGGTTACAGGAGCTCACATTATTGCACAAGGTCATCTTGAATTTCACTGGAGAATTTGAAGGAAAGCAGATAATGGAAAGCCTCATGTTTTAAGCACCTCCCCAGATTCCTTCACCCTATTAGTGTGGAAGTAAGTGTTGTGTGATTGCTTTGATGAAGGGTGGATAAAAACCAATGATGTTTTTTAAAACCAAATCATTTAAATCATGATTTATAGTAAAAAGTTGTTTTTTATATAAGTAATTAAAAATTAATATAAATAATCAAAAATACTTTTTTATTTAAAATGTGATTTAAAACAATTTGATTTAAGTCAAATCCACCCTGCTGAGGAGTCTTGGAATTATAAAAAGGAGTCTAGTAATAAAACATATCTGCAAGAATGGAGCTGCTTCAAATTAGTTTTGTATTAGCTGCCCTGTTTACAGACCATTGTACCATTCAATTTACAATGCTTAATTTTTTTCAAGGTACCAAAGCAGCCTGATTCACTGTCTCATGCTGATAACCCACACCACACTGAAAATCTGGGATTGAAGAAGCAAATGTCTTACCGAACAGATATTGTTGGCGGTGTTCCTATAATAACCCCTACTCAGGTACTACTGTGTTTTTATAACATTTTTCTAATTAGGTACAGTACTGTATTATTGACATATTATCTCTCTAGGACAGTGGTTCCCAAACTTGGGTAACTCAGGTGTTCTTGGACTGCATTTCCCAAAAGCTTTCACTGCTAGCTGTGCTGGCTTGGGTTTCTGGGAGTCACAGTCCAAGAACTCCTGGGTTACCCAAGGTTTGGAACTACTGCTCTAGGGTGACTAATTTTCTGCAGTGTAGGAAATCCAGTGTCTACAAGAGTTACCTGTTTTCTTATCAGTGTAATATGTGGCTATGGGCACTGCTTTGAACATGGGAACCTGCTGTTTCTGATGAAATGGGAAAGCATGTATTTACATGTAGGAGTTTCATTTGCTCATTTAAAGAGCATGTGGGAATATAAATGGAGCTGTTTCATTTTACTCACTTTCTGTACTTAACCCTATCTAGAATCATTATTACTTGCTATCAGAAAACATTTTTCAGTTATTCTGCTGTATTGTCTAAAATGTATTTGTGTCTGTCAGATCTGGACATGTCTTTCCATTATAACAGGAAATACAGAGATCTGGGGCGGGAAGGGGCACGGCATCCACCCACCGGCCTCCTTGGGCGGCGAGCGGCGGGCTCGGAGGCAGGCAGCTGCCTGGGGCGAGAAGGGGTGCACCACCCACTGCCAGCCAGCCAACCCCGGACGCCCGGTCTCCTTGGTGCGCCACCCCCCTCCAGCCACTGCTGCCCTGATCCCGATCCCCAGCGGGTGCCTCCATCTTTGCAGCGCTTCCTGCCGCGACTACTCTCTGGCTTGGCGCCCCAGGGGTGCATGCGGGGATTGAGTCCAGGCCCTTCACCCCTCCTTCCCTCCCTCCTCCCGAGGCACCAATCTGGAGCACCCCCGTTCCCCCTCCCGCTGTCCCCTATTTATGCATGAGCTCTTGGGGGGGTAGTGTGGTGCCGATCAGCTGTTTAAAAAGCCTTGCTTTGCCATGATCGGCTCCCCAAGCAGGGGATCATCGCAAAGCGAAATTCCCCCATAGGGAAAATCGGAAAGCGATCACAAAAGCGATCGCAAAATCTTCATCGCAAAGCGATTTCATTGTTATCCAAAGCAATCGCTATATGAGGCACCACTGTATAAGATGTTAGTAGAGAATGAATATTAAACAATAGCTTTGAAAGAGATATGGCAAGGAGATATAAATAAAGAAATCCATTAAGAGGTATGGAAGAGGATCGGGGGGAAAAGAATAATGAAAATATGTCAGTTAGGGTAAACTGTTATAAAGTGATAAAGGGGAGAGAGAGGGAGAGAGAGAGAGAGAGAGAGTCCTTCCAGGTCATATGATACTGAGAACCAAAGGATCAGTCAAATTACAAAAAAAAAAAGTCTTGCTTGCGGTGCCGATCAGCTGTTTAAAAAGCATTGCTTTGCTGTGATCGGTTCCCCAAGCAGGAAACCGATCATTGCAAAGCAAAATTCCCCCATTGGAACATCGGAAAACGATCGCAAAAGCGATCGCAAAATCTTCATCGCAAAGCGATTTCATCGTTATACGAAGCAATCGCTATGCAAGGCACCACTGTACAATTAAAAAGATAAAACAATTAAAATACAATTAAAATATATATTCTAAAAATTGCCATCAGGACCCACAGTTGACATTATTTCAATTAAAAGCCTTCTGGAACAGGACTGTTTTGACCTTGTGCCGAAATGTCATCAGTGTCGGCGCCAGATAAATCTCCCTTGAAAGGGTGTTCCATAGTCTGGGGGCAGCTGTTGAAAAAGCCCTTTGTCTACAAGCCATCCCTCTTACCTCCTTGACGGATGGCTCTTTCAAAAGGGCCCCTGGCTAGTTCTTAACCTCCAGGTAGGTTCATATGGAAGGAGGCGGTCCTTCAGGTATCCAGGGTCCAAGCCGTTTAGGGCTTTAATGTCTAAATCAAGCACTTTGAATTGGGCCCGGGCAGCAACTGCTAGCCAATGTAATTTAAAGAGACTCGGCTGGATGTGTTCCCTAGTGGCCTCATCACTCATCTAAACATTCACATTCTTATGAAAAATATCATTTGCTTATTTGCAGTCGCTAGTGTTCTAGGCTAGGCTTAAAGCTGGTTTCATGGTTGATAGATGTGTAAGAGGGGCCTGGTAAGAGGATCAGCTTTGATAGCCATGTAAATCTGGTATCAAGTAGTTGTCATTGTTATACCTGTTATTACCCCCAGTGAGAGAAAAAGCAATCAGCTGTTCCAAAATATGTATATACCTGCAAATTCATGCTTAACTTTTAGAACATGTCATCTTAAATGAAAGGAAAGGACTGACTAATCAGAAATATTACTAATACAACGTACTTAATATGAAACTTAAGTAATTTAGTCTTTTGGCTACACATCAGTTCCTTGGTAAGAAAGAAATTATAGCACTTAGAATCTTAAAAATGTAGACAGCAAAACTCTTTATATTGCTCATATTTATGTAATAAATTCTGACCAAAGAAACAAATAAACCATAGGAACTTACCTGGATTTTAAACTGATACACTGGTTCTTAGGAAAATTAAATGTTTCAGATCTCTATATTGAGCTAGTGTTCAAGAATGTAACACTGGCTTTTCAGCAAAACAGAATTTAAAAAATCCCTCAGATAGCTTGATTCATACAGCTAGCTGCAAGTGTCTCAAGATCAGTTTCTTCAACAGTACTTCCAAAAGAAATGATCAGAATAGTTCTGTAAAATACCAAGGTGTTTTTTTTTGTCTGAGTGTGTGCATATGTAAATACAGATACATATACATTGAATTTAAGTTAAATGCAAAGGCATTTCTTTAGACATGATGCAAGCCTGTGTGTGGTAAACTACAGACACAGTTGTGTGAAATAGCTTTCTGTGATATTCTGGTTTAAATGTTCCACCAACATAGTTACTATCCGGAATAAGTCTAAAGTAATGTTGATTTCTTAATTAATTAATTGTGAACTACAATCTAAGCCCTCTTATTTATTTTTCTTTAGAAAGAAGAGGTAAATGAATGTGCTGAAGGTGATAAAAATTACTTGAAACGGTCCCAAAGCCACCTTCCTTATTTTTCTACCAAGCATCCCTCGGATAATGCTGTGATCAAAGCTGGCTACTGTGTTAAACAAGGAGCAGTGGTAAGCAACTAAGAGTTTCTGAGTTCAATTAGGTTTTTTTATTTTTGTATGATGCTACAGGAAGAAATTTTGCCACAGAAAATTATCGAAGAGATTATAGAAAGTTTAACCACCCAGTTGCTCAAACACATAATTGGAAATATGAACTTTATTTTGAGAGAAGGGCTTCTCTTCACACTATATACAGTGGACTCTTGACTTACAGGTGGCTCCACTTACAGACTTTTCGAGTTTCAAACTTCTCTGGCCGCAGAATTTAGGTTCGACTTGCAACCAGAGAATCGACCTACAGACCGGGGAAAAAAAACAAAATGGAACAAAAACGGCCAGTTACGGATTAATCGGTTTTCAATGCATTGTAGGTCAATGGAGTCTCGACCTACAGACTTTTTGACCTGCAGACACCGTTCCAATATGGATTAACTCCGTAAATCGAGGGTCCACTGTAGTATGTAATATATCAGGAATGGGGAGCTACAGGCCCTTGATCCAAATCCAGCCCCCTTGGAGCCCCAGTCAGTCTTTCTGGGCTTCCCCAGATGACTACATCTCCTTTGTCATGACACCATAGAATTATAGAATAATGGAGTTGGAAGGGGCCTATAAAACAATTGATTCTAATCCCTTACTCAATGCAGGGATCCAAAACAACATATATCTTGCAGATAGTTGATTTCTTTTCTCTTGAAAATAGTTGGCAGTGCTCACCACCTCTCATAGTAATTGGTTATACTGTTATACTGCTCTAACAGGAAGTTTTTCCTGATATTCAACTGAAATCTTGTTTCCTGTAACTTGAGCCAACTATTGCATGTCGTGCACTCTGGGATGATTGAGAGTAGATACTGCCCCTCCTCTATAGTCATTCGACTATTTGAAGAGTACTGTCATATCTCTCCTCAATCTTTTCTCCAGGCTAAATATATTCTGTCCTTTCAGTCTTTTCCCATAGCGTTGGTTTCTAGTCCCTGATAGTTTTTGTTGCATTTCTCTGAACATGCTCCAGATTGTTGGCATCCTTCTTAAAGTGCAATTTCTAGAACTGGGCACAGAACTCTAGATGAGGCCTAAACAGGGCTGAGTAGAGGTTCACTCTCTGAATATGATTTTGTAACCAAATACAGTGGTGCCTCAACTTACAAACTTAATCCGTAATGGAATGGTGTTCGTAAGTTGAAATGCTCATATGTCGAAGCACAATTTCCCATTGAAATATATCGGAATGGGATTTATCTGTTCCAGCATTTAAAAAAAAAAATACCCGCCCCAAAAAAGCATACAGAAAGCCCCATTGGAAGGTGCTGGGGCTTAAAGATAAACAGCAAGCCCCCAAAGCTGCAAACTAATCATCATCATCATCATCATCATCATCATCATCATCATCGAGCAATCCCCACACTGGGACTGAAAAAAAAAGTCACCAAAAACAAACAACAACATAGCACAGAAACATAATCCCCCTCAGCCAAAACCCACCCTGAAAAGCCCACCCAGAATTTTTAAAAAGCAAAAACCTGCACCTTAACAGGCAGACCAAAGCCGCCTCCAATGGCACTCACTCCCTAGCAGAGGGGGCCCTTACTCATGAGTAGACCCGCACCAGGGATGGGCAGGGAGCACACCAGATTCCTGCACCTGGCGGTGATCCGGAGCCGCCCCGCTTCTCCTTCCTCCTGCGCCGCCGCCACACACCTCATCCATGGAGGAGCCCCTCTGACCTGTGCACCCAGCACCTTCGGTGGCCCTTACCCATGAGTAGACCCGCCACTTCTGTGGCGATTACTCATGAGTAGACCTGCATCAGGGATGGGCAGGGAGCACACCGGATTCCCCATGCCCAGCGGCGATCCAGAGCCGCCCCGCCTCTCCTTCCGCAGAAGTAAAAAAGTTTCCTAACCCCCTGCTGTAACCGTTGAGGCGAAAGAGCTACGAAAAACAGCCTCTTTGCCACCAACGGTTTGCATTTCCCGCCCTTTCCCCCTGCCTTTTTGTGTTTATAAGTGGAAGCTCCACTCGCAAGTTGAAGAAAATTTTTGTGAGCAGATCTGTTCGTAAGTTGAAATGTTCGTAAGTAGGGCCGTTCGTAAGTCGAGGTGCCACTTTATGTATTCACCTGACAGTTGTTCTCTCCAGTCTACCTAGTTAGCTTGCTAATCTTGGGGCACTTTGCCAAAGGCTTTGCTGAAGTCAAGATATATTATGTCTACAGCATTCCCACCATCTACCAAGAAGATTACAGTGGGGTCTCGACTTACAAACGGTTCGACTTACACCCTTCTCCGTCCGCAAAATTCCATTTCGACTTGCGAACGGAGAATTGACATACAAACCCCCGGGAGGCCTGGTCTACTGCCCGGGAAAAGCTTGGTAGACTGGGTCTCCCAGGGGAGGTGGTGGTGGGGGTGGCGGCGGGGACCTCCGAGATGCCTTCTAGGGCTTCTCCACTGCTATGGGAGGCATTTCGGAGCCCCACCACCACCGATAGTGGCTCCGGAGAATTGTGTGGGTCAGGCATTCTGGCTTGCAAAGACTAAGGTGTGACTTCCAGACTCCTGTCTCTGTGTTAAACAAGCTTTAAAATTGGCTTCGTTTAAAAAAAAGATTTCAAAAGTGCTTTTAAAACTGGTCCCTGCCTCCCTCCCTCCTTCCTGAACTTTTCTTGACCTAAGAAAAAAAAGAAGAAAACATCCCCCTCTAGTGGCAGAAGGTGGAATAGCAGCTTCCCATTAGTTTCCCATTAGTTTCTATGGACGGAAAAGAGCAGATACGGATTAAATGATTTTCAATGCATTCCTGTGGGAAATGCAGATTCGACCTACAAACTTTTCGGCTTACAAAATGCGTTCCAATACGGATTAAGTTTGTAAGTCGAGACCCCACTGTACCCAATTTTAAAAAAAATGAGATAAGACTCTCCATAACTAAAATTAAAAGTTTTGTGAGCATTAGAGGTTTACTGGTATTAAATTAGATTATCTTTTGTTTACTATATAGATGAAGAACTGGAAAAGAAGGTACTTCCAGCTGGATGAAAACACAATAGGCTATTTTAAATCTGAACTGGTATGTATTTAATTGTTCTAATGTTATCTCTTGATCACATGTTTCTTCCGAATATGTCAATGCATAATTGTTCTATTTCATTTTTTAAAATAAAAAGTATAGTATTTTAAAAATGTGATTATGCTTGTTTTGTTTAGCTGGTTCATTTCATTTTGTCTCTAGATTCAGTATCTTTAAAATATTTATACATTTTTTTCATATGGCCAGGAGCCATGACAGTTTGTGAGTAGGAGAATATAGAAGCCTGCACAGTGGAGGCAGTCTTGATTTCTGCTCTTTGTAGTGTTACTCTTTTCAGCTTCACTATGTCTGAGTGCACCCCCAACCTCAAAAATCTAAATGAGGACGACTGATAATAAGAAATAAGATCTGATCATTATTGGGAAAACTAGAACAATTTATTTTAGGAGGCATAGACTAAACCTGTTTTGAGGAGGCAGGTAGAATGTAAATATACTTGAGAAATATAGTGGAAAGTATTGTATGAACTGCTGCTCACTCAGTTTAAGAGACGTTATTCTAGATACCCTTGTGTACTTTTTTTATGCGAGAGAAAGCCACATATTTGTTATGTGCCATCAAGTCGGAACTGACTCACAGTGACCCTAATAGGGCTTTCAAGGTAACTGAGATATTTAAGGAGTGACCTTACCAGTTCTACTCCCCCAGTGAGTTTCCATGGTTGAGCAGGGATCTGAGTCCCAGTCCAAGTTCTGCTCTGTCTACTACACTAGTCATCAAGCCACATAAAAGTCCCGATTAAGATCAGGAAATGGGGCTTCAGTCTACTCACTTTTCCTTGATAACCTTGTTTGTTAGGACAGGAGAGGCTGCCATGGCCGTTATATGGGTGCAGCTTTAAAGCAGATGCAGTCCTGAAGATTTGGAGAGCTCATTGTGATAGTGTGGTTACCCAGAACAGGTAGTGTCAAGAGGAGGCCAGCAACATCATAACATGATTGGACTTGGGAGCCATCCATCTAACATTGTGAGAATTTCAGACCAGGCTATAGAGAAAGCATATTGTCATACATATTCACTTCAGTTGTCAGAGGGGCACAAGGTCTTGACCTCTGATGCAGGAGTCTGTATTCATTTCATGTTAGAATAATCTGTAGGCATCCTTCAGTCTTGAGAGACTATGGTAACGTGCTCTGAATTTGAAGGAATATCTTGGAGCAGCGTCTAATGTGGCTGAGAAAGCCAATACAAGAGTGACAATCCCTTCCACACTGAAGACAAATACAATCTGTCCCCTGTCCAGCTCTGTGATTTTGCTGGTTTTGGGACTGCCTCTTTGTCTCAGCCTGCTGGACAAGTGCCTCTTCAAATAATCAGTATGCTTCTAATTGAACAACTCTAGTACAGTCCTGTGTAACCACTCCAGTGAAAGCCTCACTGAGTTGAACAGAGCTTGTTCCCTGCAAGATATGTATAAGTTTATATAGGTTTAAGAAGTTATTCAGAATTTTCAAATTGAACAATTATTATGTGACTAATAAGTAAAAACAAATCGTTCCTGCCTTGTGAATTCATTCAGGATGGAAGCAGCTTTTCATTAAAACAAATACTTCGTAGGTGAAATATGAGCTGTGCTATGTTTATTTCTGAAAAACTGAGATAAAAAGAAAACTGAATTAAAGAACCTCACATTTCAACTACAGTAGAGTTTGTTTGTTTGTTTGTGTGTGTGTGGTTTTAAGTTACTGGGATTGTTCTGATTCATAACATTACTGGCAATCATTACTATTTGATCACTTGAAGGAATGTGTTTGGCACTTTAGTGTGAAGAAAACATGAAATGTGATTTTACTGTATTGACTTTATATGAAGAGGCAGCCTCATCTAAACATCCATTTTTCTTTCCTTTCAATAACCACATGATGGCGCACAAAAAAGGGAAGACGAAAGTTGACAGTATTTCCAGCTTTGCAGAAAGAATCCTTAATCCTTAAACTATATTAGCTAAATTTAAACCAAAGAATGTCAGCTGCACTGAAATATTTGTCGTACTCCTGCGACACATATATAGTGATGTTCAGTTGATGACACATAGCTCTGTACTTTTTTTAAAAAAATTTCAGTGTTATAGTATATTGAGAAATAATTATTACATCACTGAAGAATGCCATGACAAATGTGTTAGATTTAAAAGCCAGAACAGAAGCTTTATCTTTACAAAACCTTGGACCACAATCTCCAGCATAGTAAATCACACAAAAGACGGCAGGAATGAGTACATAAAATAGATTTACATACTGTACAAATTGACATAGTGTTCACAGGAATGTCAACATTCATCAGTCAAACAAACAAAATTTAACCATGATAGTCAGATAAGAACTGTGAAGAACACATTAGCTAGCCCCTTAATTTATACTTCCTTCAACTAATCAAATTAATGGTTTACTTCAGGGTAGCTTATTTCACATGGTTGTGTTCTACTAGTAAAGTGTGCAGTGACTAATTAACTCCACCGCTACTAAACAATTGCTAATTACAAAATTTCTTCTTAAAGACCTAATTATTACATCACTGCATGTAAAGTATTTTTGTCAAAAAGGAACAATGAACAGGTTAGTAATGTCACTGTGTTGTCTTTGTTTCTATGATACCTTTTATCAGGATATATTAAAAATATACAGTACACACTTGATATTTGTGTGCTCTCAATGTAATTAGAAGCTTATTCTATATCAACTTGAAATTAATAAAATACCTGAGTTTGCTTACTTCATCCCAAATTAAAGAGAAAATCAAAATATGCATAGAGCTTGGATCAGTCTTGTGAAGAGTACTGTGACAAAGACACCTCTTTTGGTGGTCTTTTGGGCCAAGGACCTGGATTACCAACTCAGCTCCCTCTAGATTCTATCAAGGGGTTTGGAGACCGGAAGGACCCACTGTCTTAGGAGTGGCCCCACTCCTAAGACAGTGGGTCTCAAACTGAGACTTTGCCTGAGTCTGTGTGGCAGAGACCCACTGTCCTAGGGAAAGACAGATAACCCCTGGAGGGAAAGGGAGAGGTTGTTTGCCACTGGGGGATATAAATACCACCTTAGCGCGAGCAGAGGCAAAACCCCCGGCAGAGGAAATGTGGTAGGAGACAGGAGATCAGGAGGATGAGTCCTGGCTATCTTGTTAGAGCAGAACAAGGCCCCAGAGGAAGGGGCTTGAGGGAATGCCAAGTCTGAGGACTTCTTATATGCGTGTTGGGCTGCTGAATCCCCAGGGGAATGGCAGTTGAATTAGACCCCTGGATAGGGGGAAATGTAAGGCAGATGGACTATAAGTAGTGTGAACAGCAAATGCACAACATAACAAAAGATATCATTGGTTGCTGTGTATCCATTGTTCCTTACATTGTCAATCCAGAAAAGTTGGACAAAGTGACTAATCTATCTTTACCTGTTGCTAAGTTATTTATTAACTAATTGAGTTATTTCTCTCACTTCTTTATCCTGGCAAACAACAATGAATCTACCAGGATTGCTTGTTCTTAATTAAATCAACTGGGCATAGAATTCTGCATTTTCCTTTAATTCAGTTTGGCAGTAAGACCTCTGCTTGGTTTTCTAATCTAAAGTATTCACAGAGTACAATCTTTTAGTTGTTGAGACTCATGGTTATGTCATTTTAAAAAATTAACCCAGTGAAGTCTCTGTTTTTTCAGGATAAGGAGCCTCTTCGGATTATACCACTGAAAGAGGTACATAAAGTCCAGGAATGTAAACAAAGGTGAGAAGCTGAAGGTTCAAAAACTGTAAAGGTAATATATCATTTTTAACTGAAACAAGAAAAACTTATCTACAAATGATCTGTTAGCACAGTTCAGTATGCTTTTTACTGTACTGTGGTAGTGAAGACAAAGCACTTTGATGAAATCATAAACCAGTGGATTAAGCTGAATTGCTGCTATATCATCATCATAATTACATGCCGTCATGTCATCTCAGACTTAGGCAACCTTTTTAGGGTTTTCTGGGTATATACTCAACATGGTTTACAATTTCCTCCTTCTGGGGATGTTCTGGGACCATGTAGCTTTCTCACAGCTACATAGGCTGGGTTTTTTCTGAGAAGTCACAGTGGAGAATCAGACTGCTGACCCTGGTTATCTGGCTCACTGAACTATCCAGCGAATGCCAGTTATATTACACCAAAACAAAATGTGGGCCTCCAAACAAAAGTTGGATAAAATTACAAAGTGTGGGACATTAACAGCGTGGGCAGAGTTGATTGATGGGATGTTTTGAAATGAAATTTGCCTTTACTGGGAATTACACCTTTGCAAAGTAAGATTGAGGAATACAGTTTGATGTATAAATAAACTCTATTGAAAAGATTTTTTGTGTATGTGTGATAGCTATAAATATGAATGATGAAACTGGAATTACAGCTTGAAAAATTAGGTAGCGGTTGTGGTATAAGGTGATTTCCATTACAATATTGTAAAAAACAGGCTTTGAGAGCATATTCTAAATTGTTTTTGACTTCTTGAATGTGTTGTAGTAAGCCTGAGTCCATGGCTATTTTATGCCTGACAAGGTGAATTTTGGGAAAGTTGGCAGCAAGAGAATATGGTAGCTTATTGGAATCACATTATGTATATATGTGCTCTGCTGTTGCCCTAATCCTTTCAACAGTTGGCTATGCCAAGAAGCTGCTGATGGCCCGCGCCTGGGCTGGGCAATGCCAGTTAGATAATGACTCTGTTTCTCGAAGTGTGAAATCTTACTGCATATAGTGTAATGTTACACCTGATGATGTTTGCAAGGAGTTATGCCCAGGCAGTCTGCATTGTGTGCTTGATTGTGCAATCAATTGTGCAACTAGTTGCACTGCTCTTCCAGCTGAAGTGTTTGTTGGGTGTGACTTTCACCTTGGTGGAGACTTCGCATAAACTTGCACAACTTCAAGTTATGGAACTGTCGACACATAATAGGATTTTGGCCACATGGTCTGTATAAAAAGGGGAATGGAAGACGGATGTCTCATGTCTTTACAATATACTGAAACAATTGAGGGGGTGGATGAGTATGGAGAGAATCTTGGTACAAGTACTAATCATTATAGTATCTCTACACCCATTCATATAGAATATGATTGTTTTCAGAGTACCCATTTTATATGTAGTATTACTTGAAAGCACATAGCCATGTCTCAGAATAAAGAAACAAGTGTTGGTTTAAAAGACCTGTAAATAGTTACACGTTTCTGTATGTTTTTCAGTGATACCGTGATGAGAGACAATCTTTTTGAAATTGTAACAACTTCTCGAACATTTTATGTACAGGTAACTCTTTAAGGAAAACAGTCTTTTCTATAAGAAAGTTAATGACTTTCCTTTGAATCCATGAAACTTGCAGTTAGACTCCATTTTGGATTGAGATGGATTATACATATGCTATGGAGCTGGAAGGAATACTTCTGCCAATCCTTTCAGACCAGCCTATGACCATTTTTTTTTAAAAAGTACTCTGTCCTTGGCCTGCTATCTTGTAGATACTTGTCTAGGGCAAACAGATCTTAAATTCTGCTTTAAGTTATTTTTGTTATGCCAGTGTCTAGAATTCTCAAATGTTAGGGAGCAGTACGTCAGTTTATCTCAAGACAATTACTTGTATGTATTGTGTGTCAGAATTTCAGCAATATAGGTTTAAGTGAACGTTGTCATAGAATAAGAGGCATGGTGGAAACTTTTCTAAAGATCAAGATAACAGATTCAGAATTTGGTAGAAGGGAAATTCTTCCAAAAATTAGTAACAGACCTGAGTATTTTAAATATTCTTTCCCTGAAAATAAATCTCTGGAGACAGTTATCATCCATAGGAGGTATTGATTTTGTGTCAAATAGTGATATGCAACTGTTTTATATAACTATTTCCATTAGGTTGAGAGCACAAAATATAGGTGCGAACTGCAACTTTGAGTGCAGTCTTTGAGAAAAGTGATGTAACAAGTAAAGGGGAGGGGAGTACCAGATTTTTTTATGGTAAGCATTTGTATATCAGCCCAACCTTTATTCAAGAGTGGTTCTTTTTAATTATAATTTCTTTCTTTGAAAAATGTAGAAGGCACCGTGCATGTTTACACATCAAAAAATTTGTACATCTTGCAATTATAGCTGATTATCTCAAGTTTTTTTAAAATGTTTTAAACTTTCTCTCTTTTCAGGCAGACAGCCCAGAGGATATGCACAGCTGGATTAAAGCAATATCTGGTGCAATAGTAGCACAGCGGGGACCTGGAAGATCAGCAGCTTCTGTATGTGTTAAAAGAAGTTATATTGTTCTGGTAGTGATAAGTTCTGTAAATGATTTCAGTTACCCTTCTACTCACCCTTGGATCTGGAGTAACATCTTTGCATGCATTACAGGTTGCAAAGGATCTTGCATTTCTTATTAATTGCTGACCTTAGCAGTATACATATGTGTTGTCTGACTCTTTTGCATTGTCCTAATGTTCCATGCATCTCTTGGATTGGAATATATTATCATTTGGAGATACAGTGAAATTTATCAAATTATTTCATACTGTGGGCTGAATTTTTTGGCTTGAGATGCCCCTCAAATTGATTTGAAGTAGTTTGATGTACAACTTGTTCAAATTATGTTGGTTTTTTTTTTAAAAAAAAAACCATCTGTATAGTAGGTAGTAATCCGAACTTGAATACTTTCTGTGGTGTAGTGACTAGAGTGATGGACTGGGACTTGGGAGCCCTGGATTTGGATCCCTACTTGGCCATGGAAACTCACTGGTGGAGTTACTTGCAGAACTGCTCCTTAAATATCTTACTTACCTTGAAAAACCTATTAGGTGACTATGTCAGTTCTGATGTGATGGCTTGCAACACACATACATTTGGAACATGAAGAAGGTTTTGGTATCTAAGATGATTAACTCTACCTTTTGCTTTTGGACAGCTTGAATCACAATTCTGACTTTGCCAGATTGAGTCTGTACTACTGAATGTTTAGTCTTAATAACATTGGCAGTATGTTAAAACAACTTGTTCCAAGTGTTACTTTGCTTTTGTTACAAGGAGGAGTATTATAGCAATTTCATTTAGTTTCTGCAAGATATTATGTTTGGGAATAACTGTTCTGGATGAGAGAGAATATATTAGCAAACAATTCTATCTCTGTTTCTTTGTCTATACGTCTATACCAGTGATGGCGAACCTTTTTGAGCCCAAGTGCCCAAACTGCAACACAAAACCAACTTATTTATTTCCAAGTGCCAACACTGCAATAAAACCTGAATACTGAGGCACTATCACTATCTCTGAGGCAAAAATAATGAAACTGAGGTTGTCCTACCTGGGCACATCATGAGAAGGCCGGATTCTCTGGAAAAGACCATAATGCTGGGAAAGGTGGAAAGCAACAGGAAAAGAGAAAGACCAAACACAAGATGGATGGACTCCCTAAAGAAACCACAGGCTTGAGTTTACAATAGCTGAGCAGGGCAGTTGAGGACAGATCATTTTGGAGATCACTTATTTGTAGGGTCACCAAAAGTCATAGGCAACCTTACAGCACATAACAGTAACAAAAAGATCTTACAGTACTATTACAGTTTTCCTTAGGATACAGTACCTCAGTTTCTTGGGTAATCTGTTTATTGAATTTAGTATGAAACTGGAATTTAGAGTGTAAGCTTCTGTAAGCAAGTTTACACTCTAAAACAGGGGTCCCCAACCCCCAGTCCATGGCCCAATGCCAGTCCGTCGGCTTGATAGAACTGGGCTACAGTGACGGATCTCCACCCCTGCACACGGGGTGTGCGTCGCGCTTGTGCAGGGGAGTGTCACGCGTATGCACGACACCCTCCACGAGCATGGGGCTACTCTTGCAGGTTACCTCCCCTTAGTTGCTCACACACAAACAAAAGGGCAGCATCTGCTTCTTCACTCTCCTGATTCCTCAGAGGGAAGCAAGCAGCCTTGGCCAGGAAGGAGCCAAGAGAAAAAGAGTTGTGGCTGAAAGGGAAAGAGAGGGACTCAGGCAACTCTCACACAATGGGACATGGAGGGCTCAGCAGTGGGGAGAAACCAAGGCGGGGTCAGTGCTGTCGCAAGACTAGCCAGATGGCGCATGTGCCCACAGAGAAGGCTCTGCATGCCAGCTGTGGCACACGTGCCATAGGTTCACCATCATTGGTCTATACTCTCTGTGATGAGATAACTCAATTAGTCAGCAGTCTTTGTCTGTCTGTCTGTTTCCTTCTTTTTCTCACTTTCCCTCCTTTTCTCAAGTTTAGGTTACTCTAATCTTAGCTTTGCACTGTGTTCCAGATGCGGCAGGCCAGAAGGCTGTCGAATCCTTGTATACAGAGGTATACATCAAGAACTGGTGAATGCAGCATGTATGTGGCCTCTCATGTAAACATGCCACCTTAACACAGGACTGAAATTCCAGAACATTTATTAACATTGTGTAAAATGATAAGCTTAATCCTGTGGTTTCTTCTGTTGGTTATAACCACCATGGAATTACTAACATGTAAAATCTTCTCATTGGCCATCAACTCTTTTTAAATGTTTCTGCATAAAATATATTATTAGGAATGCCAAACTTTCACGGATTGCTAAAATTTCTGTTCACATTTTCTATGTGTTTATTTTACTGATTACAAATTTCTAGTAGGAAATATATATTTAGAGAAATTGAACTTGGCTGAATTTGCATGAGAGTTCATATTTCCGTTTTATCATTTTTGAGAAAGAGCTAACTACAAACCACTCAAAAACCTAATGGTGAGAGTGCATGCACATGTAAAATATGTGCACCAAGGAAAATGCCCTGGACTGATTTGCATGGCTTTTACAATAGATATGCATGGGATCATTAGTCAAGATGTAGGGGCTGTTACAGCTTGCAACCTGTATGTTAATCAGTATAATAAAAGGACTATAAAGTTTTCATTTATAATCAGTAGACATAAGAAAAATTATATATTATTATGCAGGTATCAACAAGATGTTCAAACTACTATCCAGTGCTGGTCCCTCTTTTGATCAGCTTAAAACTTATAGAAATGTTTTCAATAGTATTCGCTTCAGAAAAGAAGCTCTAATTTTAGTTGGAAGTTCCAGCTTTATAGTTGGAATTAATTCACTTATTTTGGGAACTCATTCTTCTTCTGTTTAAGCACATTTGTTTTGTTTGCCACTTCAAAACGAAACATACACATTTTATCTTCTTTCTGTGTTCTCTTAAAATTTTTCATTTAAATAGTTCAGGTGGTGTTTATGATTTGTTGCATTAATCCAGATGTATTTACTAATCAGTGTGGAATCTTGTGAGACAAGATCATTCTAATGGCATGCTAGGCAACAGCATTTTGCACCAATGATTTCTGTAGTAGAAATGGCCATATTTTAATGTCAATTTCACCACGCCACATTATTGGTTATGTAGCAGTAGTATGGGAGTACTTGTTTAACCTGGGAAAAGATATGGAGTAGAGAAAATAAAATCACTTCTCTCATAGACATTTAACAGATATGGTCTGACATGATTTACGTATTGCTGATTTGTGGCTGTAAAATGTTGTAGCATAGTAGGTGCCAATACCTTCAGCCCTCAGTTGAATTAAGTAATACTGTGTAAGAACCAATATACCCTTTAATTTTCAACCCCATTGGGTGAGACTCTGCCTCTTTCTTACACAACTTCACCCCTGCGTGTGTGTGTGTGTGATTTCTCTCTCACACACACACACACACACACACACACACACACACACACACACACACACACACACACACGGTTCCATTGTGACTGGAACCAAAGAGGTTGAATGCAATCACTGTGTGGAGGAGAAAGAGAGCTGCGTGGAGGGAGGTGGAGTAGTGCATGCATGGCTTAGAGGGAACTGTGGGAAGAACTGTTTTAGAATAACTGAAGAGTTGGAGGGTAACATTTCTTGAATAGCAAACTAGTATAGGACAATAGTACAGTCAAGTGGTTTATATTCTTTGATCAGAAACCTTTCTGCTGTGCTACAGTGTGATGCACTGGTGGCATGGTAAGATTATTGCTATATAAAATTACCTGACATGGACCTTCAAAAATCTGAAGCAGGTTCAGCTGCAGCTTTTTTAAAGCTTTCCGCACATGTCTTTGTTTTCCCGTATACAACATTAGAAATGACTATTTGGTATTCAGGAGTGGTAAAGCTACTCTTTAACTATTAAATTGGATAAAATTACTTGCTATTAAGCAACTTTGCAAATTCTGTCTTGAGTGTAATGTCAATAATGTTCTCTTCCAGATCTCTTAAAACACACAGTTGAAACATAGAATTAATGAATAGTTGTGAATGATACTGTAGACAATTTTTAAGTTACTACTTTATGCAATAATTATCTTTACAGAAGACGTTGGCCAAACTCCTGTTGCATAGCTATGCCTGTATAGCTTAGTGTTCATGCAAATATGTGCAAAGCAAACAGTTTCACAGGTACAGTTGCACAATTGTGATTTCAGGCATGCAATGTAAACTGCCTGAGCACAATTCCCTGTAAACATCTAAAGGTATAATTTGGTGTTATGTCAAGTACAATAGGATTTCAGCTACTGAGTTTGTTGGATGTGTTCTTATGACACCCTGACTGAGGAGATTTGCTCCCTGGGTTGTTTATCCTGTCATACAAACCTTAAGAGATTAAATTGTGCTTCTTTTTAAAATGTGAATACACCATTCATGAATTTTTGGGACTAGTTTTTTGGAACTGGTTTTAGGACTAGACTTTCATGCCTGAATATACATTCTAAGGCATTTTCAATTTTTTTAAGTATTTCTTCAATTTTGATTATTTTGTTAAAATAAATTAATTATAATTATAGCCTCAAATTTAGTTTATGCTAGTAAACATCAAAGGACGCCACACTAGACACCGAGGGCCATACATGGATGTTTCAGCTTGCAATCATATGCTGTAAGCTCACAATCTAAACATTTTGCTGCTTTGGAGATGCATCTGCTTTTCTGCTCTTATGCCTTGCTTTGTTATTCCCTCTTTGATTTTCCCCCGTTAGCATGCAATTAATGACTCACTAAATCTGACAAGAGATCCTCCTTTGCAGGAGCATTCCACCTGTTCTTCAGAATCCAGTTGTCCTGCAGAAACAGCAGCAGCAACCTCACATTCCACAACCACTCACAACCCCACTTTGGTCCAAAACCTTAACAGCAGACCCCTTGTCTTGGAGAAGCGAAGATTTCACGAATCTTTTACCAAGGCCAAGCCAGGGAACGTCAAGATCCAGGCTGTCCCTTCAAGAGACCCAACTTCCAAAGTGACTTTACAGGGCCTGTTGGAATCCCAAAATAAAAATGGCACTCAGGAACAAGATTCTGGCCCAGTGGATCTGGATGATGCAAGCCTTCCAGTCAGTGATGTGTAATAATAGAAGAGTTTGGAGTATGATGAATTAGTTTTTGGTCCTTGAATTTCCTTGCTCAGACTTTTAGCCAAAGATGACTGTGGGATGAAAGCATAAAGAATGAAATGTTCATTGCATAGATCTGTATGTGTGTGCATACATTCAAATATGTGTATGTTAAGATAGTCATATGCTGCCTTTTACTATCAGAGAGTGGGCCTTTCTGCTTTTCCACAATCTGAAGATAAATCTGTAATTGGAAGGGGCCAAAATACAATTTAAAATTTACTGTTGTCAATAAGCAATGATCTAGCTGCTTTTCATCAGTTTGGGAGAAATTAGTAGCATCTTAGTGCTACGATGAAAGAAATATTAGCGTATGACTTAATGATACTGTAAATCAGGTGACATGACATACAAGTTAGACATTTTCTCAAAACACTGGCACAGCCCTTCAGACATCTGAATATATGAATAAAGGATCTATTATTACAGGATCCAAGATCACAAAACCTTACAATATCTAATAAATGATGCACTTTTCCTGTGTGAAGAGAATTCTCATGCAAAAAGAAACAAAAAAAAAATTAGTCTTACTGTGTTCTCTGAAATGTGTGTTTCCCCCTTAGCCAATACGCAGATTTACAAGCCATTTGCATGATCTGTGTAAAACATGGCATGAAAACCAGTTGTAGTGCATTTTAGACATTACAGATACACCTGTTAATTAACATGAAGTATCGCTGTGCATAAGAAGTGCATTCTTAAATGGAAGGGCCACAGATTACTTACACTGACATAATGTGTGGACTTAATTGGAACTTCTTTGTAACTTTTCTGTAATCAGTGCCCTTCTATAGAATCCAACTCCCTTAGAATTCCATATATTTGGTGCTGTGAAACCTACATAAGAGTAATACTGCTATTTTGAATATTAAGCCTATTTTTATGCACTCCTAAAGTTAAACTGTAACTTTTGCACATTTGGATATTAATGGACCACCATAAATAAGTAAGGGTGTTAGGTAAATTTTTAAAATTAGGGAGAAGGGAAACTGGACTACTAAATCTTTTAAAGATTCATCAAAAATATTTTATATTAGGCTTTAAAGAAACTAAATGTTTAATCTATTGTCTAAGGACTATTATTTTTTTCCTTCTGTGTGATTCTTTTTTGTAAATGGTTCCCATTTTATATTGGAGTCAGGAAAAGACTGAACAAATTTTCTTTTATTGTTTTGACTGGTACTGAAATGTTCACTCATGCAACTGTGGCCTGTAACTTTTGGTGCACTAAATTTATTAAAGTGCCTGTGGGTTCTTCCTTTTTGATGTATTAAATCCGTGAGGGCTAGATGGATACTGAATTTTGCTTTTGTGATTATTGAACCTTGAGGTGAAATTGCATTGTATAGTATAGTTCAGCACATGTATAAGATAATATGCTAAGGTTGCCAGCCTACTGGTATGAGCTGTGCACTGTGGTTTTTTTTTTTACTGGATTTTTGTTGAGGAGTTTCAGTGATTAAAAATATAAAAGGTTTAAGAATCTGATATTGAGTATTTGATCAGAATGAGCATGCACTATTTTGTAGTTGGAATATGGAAGTGTTTGCTTTAATCAATAGAATTCCCAAAGTTTCACGTGATGCTGCTTTATGCAGTTCAGCTTTTCCACTTTGCAGTACTCTGGTCATTTAAAATCTTATGTTTATAATGTTTGACAAACCTGACAAAAACTGAAAGGAAAAATGCAGATATAATTGAGTGAAAATATTCACTACTTCAATGAAACAGACAATTAAGTTACGTTTGACAGAGTTATGTTATGTTCGGCCTTTTCAGTTGAAATTCAGTGGAATACTCTCAATATAGAGTTTAAAATACTGGAGCCATCCCAGCTCTAGAACCTCACTTAAAGCCTCAATGTGGCTGAAGGTGCAATATAATTTCATGGGCATTGGGGATAATGGCATTGGGCACTTCCAATGTTTAATTACTAATTAGACTCTGCAGTCTCACTAAAATAGCATTAGTTTCAAAATAGGTAAAAATAATGTAGTCACTGCCCACCCAGTGTTTTAAACTCTTGCTCATTATAAAATTTCCTAGTGCCAGCACTATGGGGAAGGTAATTTATCCTTATTTCCTATGTCATTTAAGAGCTTCAGGGAAATTTTCTTTCAATATTGTATTTAATAATTGGCAGTTATCTATTTTGAGTGCCATAAGTATGAAATGAGGAAGAATAGGGTAGCAATTGCAGTCCAGCTACATCTATTTGCATGAAAGTCCTGCTTGCAACTCGCCCAAAATCTCACAGTAATGAGTTGCATTTGTTTGCATTTTAAGACTTGAAACTTTTGCAACTCCCTCATTTGATCTAATTCTGATGCCCCTTATAGCTTAATCAAGGGTGGGAAATGTTTGGTGGGTTGAAACTGTCAATATCACTAAGCCAGCACAGCAACAGTGCGTGGTTCTAAGCACAGAAGTGCAGTGACATCTTGGAGCACCGTACATTCCTCATCCCAGTGGTAAGTGGTTTCTAGCTTATATATATAAGTCCCACACATTATATGTCCTAAACATTATTTCTCCATAGAATACCTTAATCTAAAACTATATCTACACAGCAGTTCTGCCTATGATCATTTATGGACTTCTACTCAAGGGATCCTGTTCTGCTCCTAAACATGTAAAGTCTTCTGTTCTCCATTTTGGGTTTTGCTTACAAAATTATGAACTGAGAGGTACAAGTGTTTTACCTCATTGATTCAGACTGAATCTTGCTTTTTCCTGATGACATTGTATCTCTTTATTCTTTTTATTTTGTTCATTATATTGTGTAAATTTCTAGTTTTGCACTCCTATTTGTCTCCCAGCAAGTTAAAAGATGGCTCTTATGATCAGGCTCTTCTCTTTTAGAAATCAGTTTCTTTAGAATTCTTTCCGGACTATGCCTCCTCCACTTTTCACCTTCTTTATTGAATTTACTGGAATGGAAATGGAGGCAAATGTTTCAGATCCAACTGTTAATAAAATCAAAATGTCTGCTAGCCATGTTGCAGGGATAACACCAGTACTGTACATGTACGTATTATGATAATTATTTTGGTCTGCCAAGATTAAAAATTGAAATAAAATAATGCTAATATGGGTTAAGCCAAAAGATAAAGCAGTAGCAGTGCCAAACTGCAGTGCTCTTTTTTCACATGGATCCAGTATAACAGCACATTTACATTTTTTTAACCATAAGCTATAAATCATAAACATTTACAAACAGAGTTTGTAAATTGCATTTATTTGCCTTCTCGGTTACCTGTGAACTAATAAGTTGAATGTTATAACAAGTCTAATTTAGTAGCATACATTTTAACTTGTAACAAACATAGCCAATACATATACAGAACCTTATTTTTAATAAATGTGTACTTTGTGGGAGAAACTGAACTAAAATGTTTGTATTGATGTACTTTGATGTAGTGTTACCTTTTTTCTGGTTCTTATACAATTTCTACACTGCATGTTCATTTTATTCTGCTTTGATATTGATGGTTTTCAATAGTGAATCGAAACAAAGCAGTATCCTTATGGAATCTTTTAGAATCTTACATAGTTCAGTAGTGCAGGAAAATATTTGTGGTTGCTAAATTGTCAGGGTCTCTTATTTATCAGTACTTTTTAAATATGAAATTAATGACAATTGTTAAATTATTTTAGAACCTGTGGTGTTTTCTGTAAATGTCACACTTGTTAATAAATTGACTTAATGAAACATAACAATCCTATTAGATTACTACATTTAGTGCACTTCAAAAGATACAAAAGTGAATGAAACTATTTTGTATACCACCTTTTGTTCATCCCTCTTAAATTCACAGGAAAGTTAATGAAGTTTTAAAAAAATAAACAAGCAGTCTTGCGAAACATTGCTGTCTCTAGTACAATGATCATTTGATATAATTGATCTTTTAAATGTGTGGCTGTTCCTCAAGTGGTACAAATATGGCATGACAGATTATTGCCAAAGAACTTACTCAAATGATCAGTTGCTGCTTCAAAAATATTAGCCTGCTGGCTTCTACTTGCTGCTACACAATATGCAACTTTGCACACACATAAAACTTGCAAGGGAAGTGGAAGGGAAGGGGAACAACATTGAAAAGACAGGTGGACATACCAACAAAGCTCCCAAGTCATCCTGGTGGGGTTTGAGTACTTGCAGGTAAAGAATGATGAGACAAGACTGGGCAGGATTAATAGAGAAGGACAACAGATGGTCAGGTGGTGGGGAAGAACTGGGGACAAAGACAAATTTTTGATTCAGTTAGGGACAACTTGCTACTAAGGCAGAGAGGATGTGATTTCTAAATAGAGTGATACTTCAAGGTGTAAACCATAGGTGGGCCTTACTGCACTGCAGCTCCCATGTGTCCTGCCCAGCATAACCAATGAAGAAGGATGGCTGAAGTTGCATCCCAGCCTCTTGTTATGCTTTTAAAAACAGAAGTGCTTCCAAGAAAGGATGGTGAAGGGGAGATGGTGGGTGAGCAAACTACTTTTCTGGAACCCAAACAGTTTTTAATTTAAAGAATCAGTGGGAGTACTCAGCAATGGTTCAGTATTGGGGGAGGGGGCAGTTCTTTGGGACCATGTAGCTTGCCCAAGGCTACACAGGCAGTCTCTTTTTAAACAAGACCCAGTGAGGAATTTAATCCCTGACCTCTGGCTCCATAGCCAGACACCCAACTCGCTGTGCTCTCCAGCCAGCACTGAAATGAAATGTATGTCTACTTTGTAGGGCTTAGATTTGAAGCAGTGCAAGTAAATTAGTTCTTCGGCAAGGGGGAGTGTAAGGAGGGCAACAGTGATGATAAAGCCTCTGTTGGTGGGCTGTCATGCTTCTCGCGACCAACTGCCTTTCAAAATTATAAAAGAGGTGCTAGTGAAAGGGTTAGAGAAAAGGCAGGAAATAAGAAAGGGTGGTGGAGGAAGAAAGGGGAGGATGATACCCAGAGTGGGAGAAGCATGTTTATCAGAGATAGAGATACCTGCTAAAGAGAAACCTGAGAAGGAATGAGAATATGTGTTAAAGGAGGGTCCATGTACTGGGGAGATTGTCTCCTTGCACATCACCAAAGCTGAATCCAAAAGGCATGGCAACCCACAGCCTCCCTAGAAAACTCTCCTATTTGGGAGAGACAAAACAGGAAGAAACAGCATTATGTCCCAGAACACAGTTCTTAAGAATCCTCCAAGTCTCCATAACCACCTTAGCACAATACCCGAGAAAACTGTCAAGCCTCCTTGTCTTTCAAACGGGAAAGGAAGGAGAGAGGGATTGCCCATTCATTCTCAGTGGGGTTATATATATTAAAAAAATCCTTGCTGCAGAACCCTTTGCTTAGCCTACGTAAGACCCCTGCAGCGAATGAGCAGGAACCAAAACCCCCATCACTGAGCTTGCCCAAAGGTGAAGGGATTCTGGGCCTGATAAAAGATTTATGGTTAACCACAAAAGGTTTGAAGCTGCTTTCTATATGTCTGGAAGTTAATCCTGTTGAGAAGCCCTCCATTAGCTTAATAAAGATTGTTTGAATGATAAAACATCTCATTCTATGGAGCAAAACATGGAGGGCTGGGACCTCATGGGTTTGTCAGCAGCAGGCAGGGATCAGAAAGAAAAAGAAACATTTCCACAAGATATCTCATAGGGGAAAGAAGATGGGAGGTAAATCAAAAGGTCTTGTGCCCTCAAAACTAGATTTAAATAATTACAATCCAACAGTGATAAGAAAGACTTATCAAAACTAAGGTAGAGTCTCTATAGTGTTTAAGATATGTTAGGGCTGATCATTAATCTCTTTTCTCATTTTAAATCAAGAAGGCAAAATTTTACATACTGCTGAAAACATTTGGTAACCAGCACTGTTCCCTACCCAAAAGGCGTAATTTACAGTTTTGCAAGTAAGGACAATACCTTTCTCAGCTCCAGAACTTAATATATCCCAGGACCCTTATGCTGCTACATAGCTATTAAAAACTGGCGTCTGAGGCTACTAGTTCTCCAGGATTAACTAGCATAGCATGAAAAAGCCTGTACATTGAGTGGTGGTGGGAAGAAAGACGTGTCCATCTCTTCACCGGTCATGAAATGTACCTCTTATCCCAGAGATGTTCGAATTCTGTCGTATACAGAAATGCCTCTCATACAGGATGGGCATAGTGCACTGCAACATTTGTTTCAGACTCGACTTACTTATTCTAATACCAAATTTAGTACTCCCCGTGCTAGGTGAGTGAGCAGTAAAATTCGTATGCTCAATAGCCAGTAGGGACCATGGCGTATAGAAAACAAAGAAGGGGAATGGGGTGGAGAGGCTCTTGCTTGAAATTTTTGTAGTATTCTTGAAGTAAGGGTATGCAACATACTACTATGTCACCTTGAACACGTTGTTTTGTCAATTTTTAAAAGCTAAGCAGCATCAGGCTTGGTTGGCACTTGGATGGGAGTCCACCAGAGAATACTAACAGTTTTCAAGTAGGATTAGGAAAGAATCCTCCCGTACAACTCAAGGGCTTCTACTAGTTGATGATGCTAGGCTAGGCAGTCTATAGATATGACTTGGGCTAACATAAGTTCTTCCCTCTAATCCATGGGAAGATTTGAGGAATCGGGGTACAAGAAAATCTACTTCTCCCCAAACCAGCCCTTACACTTCATACAGGATAAAGCCAAATCTGAATCTGAGCCCTTCTGTACAAGTACATAGGACAGAAAGAGGTAAAAAAAAAGGTTGTAAGAGAGTGGTGGTGGAAAGCTATGCCTATCCCATTCTCTCCAGTCTCACATAGCATCATAAGGGACCTACTAGAGGCTGGTTGGAGCACTGAAAATGGGCACTCCTACTCAAGATTGCAAAGATACACCATATTTTGTTCAAATGCTAATTCTTGAATTCTTGTTGTGAGTCTCCACTTGCAATTCCTTAGTGCTAAAAGTAGAGCAACAGTAGCTAGTTTTTCTTATAATGTATCCAAAAGATGTTGCAGTCTTCATCATATTTTAGGAAAATGCTGGTTAGGGCTATTTTCTCAATGTTAAATGAGTGACAAATCTGAAAGTTACTGGAAGAGATACAGATTTCCCCTGGGTTTAAAGAGATATTGGAATATGTAGCTCCTTGTGGCTTGTATGGTAGCCAGAAATCTAGCGGTCAAATTCAGTGATTGAAAGACTCCTGTTTTTTTCTGAGTAGTTCTATAGCTCATTTCTCTAGGAGCGAAGCTACGTGCAGGAAAACAAAATATCCTTTCTTGCATGCTGAACTGTCAATAACTGTGGCCAATAAGTGTTTGATAAAAGCAAGATGATTAAGTTTGTGCCTTTCTCTTACTGTGCAATGACTGCAGATGTATTAAGATCAGCATAGAAAGGTTTTTTTTTTTTTTTAGGACAAAGAGATTACTTTTCCTTTCCCCAGAAATGTGAAACTTGCCAGAAAATCAGTGTTTAGGACATGACTTGACTGCCAGCACAGCAATGACCTTAAATTGCACAAATGTTTGTTTGAGAAAGCAAGGCCAATTTATGGCAACAAATACAAAGATTCTTCAAAAAGACACAATCAGACATGGTTTATCAAGCCACTCCCATCCTGCAAAATGCAGGCCTTTTATCTTACAATGTGTGTGACTTTCTGAGCTATGACATAGGTCTTATCTGTATTTGGCTATGCACAGTGGCCTGTGGTTGCTGGTGTCAAAAAGGACAATTTTATACATCCATGCATGTGTGTGTGTGTGTGTGATTTTTCTCAAAACCCTCAAACTTTTAAAATCATGTGGAATGTAAAATTTGTAGTTGGATCCAGACTGAGTCATACTTAGGAGAAACATGCTTAAATTGGTTGGACTTCAGCTGCTTATGATAGCCAATAGTCAATCTGTGTTGTTTGTTTATTTTTGTGGCCTGTCTAGAAAAAGCTATGAGGACTCATAAAATTCATATCTTGACCGTGGACTTCCAAATGCTGCAACAGTGTCATTTATTAAAGACTTGTTATTCTTTCTGTAGGCATGGATGGTAATAATGTTCAGATTACTGATCAGTCATCTCACTGTAAAAATGACAGGGATCAATGAACATATGCACAGAGGTTCTTAATTTTGGCACTCCCTATGACTTTAAAAAGCAAAGACACATGGCAACAATACAATGTATAAATGCTAATCACATTAACTCTTACTTAGAATCTTTAATGCCTTTTTTCAAAGTAAGCTGCAATTAGTAACCCCCCATATGCCTGAAACCTCAGAGAGAAGTGAACCCATTCACTACTATCCAAGAGGGGAAGGGGGGTGAGAGGAGGAACTAAGTGTGCATGCACATTGTAGTGTGCATGTGTGCACTGTGGAGTTGCAGCAAAGGTGACCACGGACATTTGAAATCACAGATACCATTTCCATGGATATGGTGGTCCTACCTGCATGTCCAAGCCAATATCACAAAACCCTAAATGTCACTGCAAAATCCTTAGATTCCCAAACATAACAAGCAGATGTACGTTAATAAATTACAACAACATAATAGCATTAAGCAAACAGAAATATTCAACACTTTAAGGCGAGCAAAAGAATCTAAATATGTTAGATAATTTTCAACAGGCAGGAATTTGCAAATGAAGAATCTGTTTCATGAAGAGTCTTTCTCAAGTCTATAGCTTCATTAATTTAATCATCCTGGTTCTAGGCAGCAGTCAGTCTGCCTCTTACAGCATGATTGTATCTTCTGTTTCCTTCCCTCTGATTAGTTCAAAAACCTTTGGAATTCAATATCTAAGCAAGGAAACAAAAGATAAGATACATCATAGTTGTAAGAATCATCTAGGTCTCTGGCTGGAGCCAAGATGATTAAATTAGTGAAGCT